TGTTAATTTGCAATGATTTAGATTTGTCGGGTATTGTCGGACATTATCCAACAAAATGTAAATTTTTTTATATGGAAATAAACAGTATTATTATTATTATTATCCTCTTGACCAATTTGGGATAGAACACAATCCACACAACAAGGTCTGTTCTATCTCGTTTCGCCCATACTAAAAATTACGAAGTTAGGCAACCCACTGCACAGACTTATAGCGGCCATTTTTAAGATGTTTACAATTCTTGTGCTTTGGGTTTGTGCTGTTTATACAGATTAAAAGTCGTTTTAAACGTTGTGTTTCTTACAGAGGCACTTACAGAGGCACTGTCATCAAACTGTCAAATGTCAATGTCAAATTTATCATACCCACAAATTAACCTTAAAATTGACATTTTAGCCCTGATAAACTAAGTTTTATTTTTTACAAAAGAGGTGTAAAATTTTTTCCTTGGCACTTTAAGACCTCTTTTAAGGCTAACAAGGGCCTCTGTAAGAAAAACAATGTTTAAAACGATTATTATTTTTCGTAGAGATCTGCATTCAGTTTCGCTAAGACAAAATAATAATTTATCTTTACCACAGTTTCGTCTATCCATGTTTATGCGTTCTTTTAGCTATAATGCTGTTATACTTTATAATAATGTAAATTTGGAATTAAAAACTCTTTCATTAAATACGTTTAAACGTAGGCTAAAACAAAACTTTTTAAGTTTGTATTAATAATCATACTAGTTTTTGTATTATTTATAAAGAATTTACTTAAGTGTTTATTTTAAAATTATTTAGATTTAAGGTTTTTATGAATTTTTCTCTTTTATTTCGGCGTGTTAATATTGCCATACTAGGTTGAGTGGAGTAGCCTGAGGCCAGACAGTCTGGCCCAGACTTCGCCTAGTTAAGTATTGTAAAAACATATTTTTTTACTTAAATAAAGACATTTTATTATTATTATTATTATTATTATTATTAATTATTATTAATAAACAATATAAAAATGGCCGCCGTTAGTTTTATAATTTGGGTGATTTAACACTTCTGGCAACCACTATTAAAATAAAATGTTTTATAAGAAATAAAATTGTAAAATAATAAAAATAGTACAAATGGTAAAATCTTAAAAGTTTATAAAAAATAACCAAAAAAACTTTACTTAATAAAACTTGAATAGCTACAATTTTGTCAAAAATGGCGAATGCGCCGGGATATTTATATTTCGTAATATAATATTATTTAGTTTATTTTTTGAATGTTTTAGATTGCGCGATCAATTTGTGAAGCACATACATTTCGATTTGCTGATTGTGGAAGTGTCAAAAAACAAGTTTTTGACATTTTTAATAATAAAACATTAAAAAAATGGCTTACAAGTGCCTCTGTAAGAAAAACAACGTTTAAAACGATTATTAACTGTATAAGCAACACAAGAATTGTAAACAACATAAAAATTGCCGCCGTTAGTTTTATTATTTGGGCAGACATTGACAAGATGTGACTTTATGGCGTTTTAGTCACGGTCCAAAGATATAAATTTCAAAAAAGTAAGGTTAAATTCGTCAGATTGGGCATTTCACGTGAAGTGGACAGCGAAAAAAAAGTGACGTTCTGAAATTTGTTCATATTCGGCTTAATTGTACTTATAGTAGGTATGAATGTGGACATTGTCGTTATTGAAATTCGTATTTTTTGGAAATAGTTTTTCGAATGAAAAAAATTATTTTAAAATATTAAATATGGCGACTTAAATAGAAAATTTACTGTTCTTTTTTAATACAAAATAAAACTCGATTTTTTATTTTTTTTTAATATACAAAACCGGAAATAAACTTTTCAAATCATAATTTTAGTAACTTCGACCAATTTTTTTTTATTTTTTTTTATTTCAAAATATAGCCTAAAGTACATTTATTATACACCAGAAGTTTCAAAATGGGATCTGCAATAGTTTAGGAGATAAATAAATTAAAGTACATACGTGTCGCACTGAGCTTAGTACCTGGCCTTCCTTAAGCCGGAAAAAAATTATACTTACTAAAATAGCTGTGCTGTCATAATATTAACATAATGAGACAATATTGTAACAAAGGAGGAAAGTACCTATTTTATTTAAAAAAAGTTACAATTTTATAATCTACGCTAGAACTGGTTCTTTTTACCAAAAGGCCTTCGGTTGTTGGAATAAAGGCGTGCAACTTTTTTGTTCCAGGAATGGTGATTGCTGAATCGAACCGGGGCTGCAAAAAAATTCTATGACGTTGAATATTGTCTTTGGAGCAGTAGTAAATGGCTGTCTGTTTTAAAGATGATTTTGCCCATTCGTATAATCGCATTGGTGTAACGATTGCGTTACTTGCAGGCAACTGTAGGCTTGCACGCGTTGCTAAACGCTTGAGGTTTCCTCCAAGCCCATCGCACGGTCCTTTTCCGTGACACGTTGCGTGAAAATGTATCTCTGCATCGGCATTGAAATCTTCTTTGTAATAAAATAGATTCACAAAGTTAAATCTATTTTTAAAATGTTGTGAGGCCCCGTCAGTTCCATATATAATTTTAGAAACATTGATTGCTTTTCCTAAAAGATGCTCGTGCAGTATTTTTTAAAAAGCGTAGAAGGTGGCTGTATCATGCTTTAAGTCATCTGAAATCATAACAATGCTGCCATGTTTTATTTCATTTCCATCTCTATAATAAAAAACCGATGTCAGAAGTGTTGCCTGTTCATTATTCCAATGAAAAGATTGAACAGCATCTTGGACAACAAAACTATAATTTTCGGCAAAATCACATTGCACAAGGATTTCGCCTTCAACGATAGTCTCCTTAAGAGTTTTAAAATACAACGCCTGTTCCTCTGCAATATAGGCATGAGGTTTCAATGTATCCAAAGCGTCACACAAGCTATCCACAAAATCATCAGAAGACAGCAGTTGAGTAGATATTGTGAAGCGATCTGTTCCAACCCATTTTTCAAACTGCACGTCCGTCACTTGATTATTATCATATATGATTTTCAAATTTTCACGAATTGCACTTAAACCAGGACAAGATTTACAACATTCATTTGACGGTGTTTTTGTAGTCATCAAATGACATGTTGGTGTTGGATTGAGACACATCATCTTGCGAAGGCAATCTTTATAAGATGTAAGTGGCATGGCAGTTCCAGCAGTAAGATTGGCAATATCTCCTCCATTTAACATCAGCTTAACATTTTGATGGTAGGTACAAACACATACCATATGTGTTCCAGAGTCGCCAGCGAGGATACATTGCTTGGGTCTTAGAGTAAAAAACTTTGTTAAGCCTACCTGAATGTTCGAATATTCGTCTTTGAACTTCTGATAAAGTTCATCAATGTTGCACATTAGAAGTTGTTTTTGTAGATGCGTTCTTTTGCCATTATCTAATTTAACAAATATAAAATCTTTTTTACCAGGCAATATTCGGCTAATATCTTCTCGGAGGTAAAAACATTTAACTAAGTTTTCGGTCTCAATTGGTAGTTTACGGCCACCACGTGGGTTTGGAGATGACAAGACACCGAATCGATCTACAAGTTGCTTTGTTTTTCTCGCTTGCCGTCTAGATGTGCCAAATTCTTCCGCAAGTTTATTTTCACTCCAGGCGCAATAGTCAGTATCATAGTCTTCATAGAATTTGAAGTAGACGGATCATTAAATTTTTCTTTTAGTTGCTTTAAAATTTCTTGGTTTTCTAGAACTGTTTCAGTTTGAGTTGAATTATGTTTAAACTTATCTTCAGGAATGAACGGTTCATCTTGGGTGTTTTGCGAAGGTTCACTCGATGTTTGACTGCACTGTAAAATATCTTCATTAATTGGTACTGGAGGTGTTTCATTTAAGAGCCTTTTCCTACAAGATGCACATACTGTATGTACATAAACATCGAGTGAAAATCTCCACTTTTGAGCCAAATGTTCAGATATTTTCCTTAAATTTTTAAACTTTCGATGAAGTACCAAGCGAAATGGATTAAAACATCGATGACCGTACGGAGCCATTATAAATCAATAACTTTCTTAAAATGTGCACAATTTACTGAGAGATTAAAACAACAACTACAGAAATAACGAAAAATACGAAATGGCTTAGCTTCTATTTGTCATTTTAATACTTTTCGTATCTAAGAGATGGCGCTAGCAGTCACTTTTTACATATACTTACTGGTAAGTATATGGCTTTTTATCACAAAATTTGTTTTAGACTACTGCTTCCTGCTAATATTTTTGTTTAATAAGTACTATTTTAATTTAAATAATAAATACCCCACAACATTGTTAAAGCTTTAAATACGCTTAAATAGGAAAGTAAATATAAATATTGCAGCGGTTTAGTATAATATCGCGCAAACCAGAAAGCTAGAGTACGACGCTCAGTGCGGCACGTATGTACATTAATTCATTTATCTCCTAAACTATTGCAGATCCCATTTTGAAACTTCTGGTGTATTATAAATGTACTTTAGGCTATATTTTGAAATAAAAAAAATTGGTCGAAGTTACTAAAATTCTGATTTGAAAAGTTTATTTCCGGTTTTGTATATTAAAAAAAAATAAAAAAGCCCGTCTTATGTTGTATTTAAAAAGAACAGTAAATTTTCTATTTAAGTCGCCATATTTAATATTTTAAAATAAATTATTTTAATTCGAAAAACTATTTCCAAAAAATACGAATTTCAATAACGACAATTCTTTAGAAGCCAATAACTTTACAATTAAACATCATACAAAAAAAATATTGTGTGTCCACATTCATACCTACTATAAGTACAATTAAGCCGAATATGAACAAATTTCAGAACGTCACTTTTTTTTCGCTGTCCACTTCACGTGAAATGCCCCAGATGTCAAATATTTAACAATTAAAATTGGCTTTAAATTCTTCTCTGTGTTCGTCGTAAATAAAGTATAGTATGCAACTCGTTTTATAAACATTATCATTTTTTTAAACACTAGCTTGCAAGCTTTACTTACTAATTTTTTAGATATTTGGGAACTTCAAATCCTGTCAACGGCGACGATTTGCAAGAAGAAGAGACCTCTGGCGCAACTTCCGGGGAAGAAATTTGGGGCACTCCAACAAGTGGTGGGGAGTTGGATGATTCGTTGACGTCTCCAAATTACGAGGGCAAACAGTCGGTTAGGAGAAATTGAAAGTACAGCGCTTTAATGCATGGCCTATGTTCCTCCCAATGCATGTTGATGGCAAAGTTTTGGCAGTTAAATTTTATTTTGTTAAGATAATTGCCTTTACTTTAATTTTAGGATCTTAGTTTTAAATTATTAGGGACAAAGGGCCGTATGCAAAAACGTTGATTTATATCAACTGATAATATATTATATCATATCAGTGGATATAGGTTTTTGCACGACATGACAACGCAGTATTTTTCTTTAAAAACTGTTGTTTTATAAAACGAATTGGGTAATTATCTTTCAACGTTTATATTTTCCATAAAAAAGTCGATTTCTTTACATTGAAACTTTAAATTAGACATAAAACAATTAAAATATCATCAAGATTTATTTGACATTTGTGACATTTGCTTTTAACCTTAGAAAATAATTTCGCTAATAAAAGTCATGTTTTTTTGGCCAATAAAATCATCTTAATTGAAAATCGGTTGATATAATTTATATCAGTCGTTAACGACTGATTTAAAATATGAATAAAAATAGACAGTATTTTTGCTTGTTAATATAGGGGCAATTCCATGATAACTCACGGGACATTCAGATAACAGAAATAAAATTTAACTTGGTATACCAGAATACCTATATTTATTAGGAATGTATAAAATGTTTAAACTTTAAAGGATAGGCCAATGTACATTTTTAACATTTTTGAATAAGTTCACCAATTGATCTCTAGACAAAATGCAGACAAAACGTGTGATAACTCATGGGACACGAAAAACTTTCTTTAAAAAATTGGTTAAATGAAGCAACCTTTTTCTCTGAATCCTAAACTGTATGAAACATAATCTTATTTTAAAAATATACTTTGCCTATAGTGTATTAAAAAAACATTCAACTTAACTGCTTTGATTGTGTGAGGTTTTAAAAAAATTGGTTAATATGATAACTCATGGGACATAACATATTTTTAGTGCAGAATTCAAAAGCAGTTAAGACTTTTTAATTATTTAAAATTTTATGGAATATTGGGTTAAATAAATAAAGTAATAATTTTCTAGGCACAAGTAGACATGTATGCTCCTAGTTTAATAACATTTGGAACATTTCGATTGATATAAATTTGAAGAAAATTACGCTATTACGCATGGAATTGCCCATATGTAGGTATATAAAAAAATAAATTCAGAAGGTAAACATACCTATAACAAAGATATAATTAAAAAATAATATTTTTTTTAAGATTAAAATTACTACCATGTTAATTATATCAAACATCTTTGCTGTTTTTTTGTCTGATTGAAAAGCAGAAAACTTTAAATCAATTGATTTATAACTTTCTTTAAAAAGCGAAAAGTTATGCCAGCAATGCATACAAAACTTGCACGATGCACGATTAATATATTATTATTTTTAATATATTATTGTTTTTAAAGACGTTTACGTCAAAGAATTTATGTTATAATTGTCATATTATAATGTCAACTGACATCAGTCAGTTTTAAAGTTTAAAGATGAATGAAATTGAGGAAGCAGCTGAAAAGGCGAAAAATTGCGGCCTGCTGCCGGAAAAATCAAAATCTTTATACGAAAAAACTTACTTCGAATATATCAAATGGTGTAACATTGTTTGTTTTTAATTTTTGACGTTTCATTATAGCCCGCTGGGTCATAATAACAACAGCGGGCTATAAAAAGACGTTTACGTCAAAGAATTTTTGTTATAATTGTCATATTATAATGTCATCGTGCATAATAGTTATTTATGTATTAAGGGCATAATTAGGTTTTTATGGTCCGAGGCGCTATTTCGAGCCCGAGCGCGTTAGCTAGCGCGTGGGCTAGAAATGCTCCACTAATGGGTCTACCATTTAAATCCTCCAAAATGTATGTGGCTGGGTTTGTAATTTTTACTTTTACAATTTTAAACAATTCTGTAGTCCAATTGGGGGTGTATCCTTTATCAAAAACATGTTTTGCTTTACTTATTCTCACTATATCACCAATGAAAAACTTTTTAGGTTTGGTTGCTAATTTTAAATGTGTAAATGCAAACTTTAAAACTTTTTTTTCATTTTCTTTACAAACATCAATTGGTTTCATATTAATTGTTCTATGTTTTGTATTATTATAATTTGAAACAATTTGTGGCAATATATCAACCCAATTATATGATCCATTTAAACTAAAGTATTTAAATAGGCGTTCTTTTACAGTCCTTATAACACGCTCAGCGATTGCAGCTTTTTTACAACTAAATGTATTATAGTGATTTATTGAATATTTTTGCATAAGTTCATTAAACTTACTATTAAAAAATTCCTTACCCTGATCAGTCTGTAAGTTTTGTGGACATCTTTCTTTCAATATTAAATTAAAAGCTTTTGTAACTTCTTCCCCAGATTTATTTTTTAATGGTTTAGCCCATAAATATTTTGAAAAACAGTCAATAACAATCAATATGTACTTAAAATTTTTATTATTTGATGCATACATGTCCATCTGCCCTAAGTCTGATTGCCAAAGGTCATCAATGCCCTTAATAATTGTTTTTCGACGTTTAAAATTTTTTCTTATAGGTCTATGAAGTTCATTAACAAGTTTAATTTTTTCCTTGGTGTGTTTCATGATTATGGTGTGGTGGAAGAGTGAGTACTAGCACCAGCAGCCCCTGTAATCACTTTTATTATATTTTTCTCCACATCATTGATTGCGGATTTGTTTTTTTTGATGTCCTCAAATAATTTATCCACGTTTGTATCCAGAGACTTTAAAGCTGTATTAAGATCTTTGATTTGCTTTTTAAAATCTATAATGTTTTGTTCATTTTGCTGTTTTATATCCTTTAAGTTCACATCTTGAGTCTGTTGAAGGAATTTAATTTGCCTATCCAAGTCATTACGTGCATTTACATGCGATCTTGAAATATTTTTTAAAGAATTCAAATCATTGAAAATTATTGTTTTTTGTTTATTAAGTTCTTTAATTTGCTCTTTTAACTCATCGGTATTTTGCGTTAAAATAGATAGTTCTTTATTTAAATTAATTTTTAATTTATCTTGTTTTTTACTATCGAGGTTTTCAATTTCCTTTTTTATTTTTGCATCCGATTGCTTGAGTGCTTTTAATGTCTCTTGTTCAAATTTACTAAGTGATTTTATTGTATCATCATAAAAATTTGCATATATTTGATCAACATAACCCATATTAGTAGCATCTGCATTTAAAGTTGGTGATTTCACATTACATATTTTTAGGTTTTCTGCGTCAATATTACCATCGGGAGTATATTTTAGTACATTGTTACCATACTGTAATTTTGACAATAATGAATTTTGATTAGAATGGTTAAGGGATTGAAAAATCAAAATCTTTATACGAAAAAACTTACTTCGAATATATCAAATGGTGTAACATTGTTGTTTTTAATTTTTGACGTTTCATTATAGCCCGCTGGGTCATAATAACGCCCGCGGGCTATAAAAAGACGTTTACGTCAAAGAATTTTTGTTATAATTGTCATATTATAATGTCATCGTGCATAAATGTATTTATGTGTATATTTAATAATACATTTTAAAAATTTATCACTCTTTTAATGTAATAAACACATATTTAAGTATATGTAAAATAACCTACAAATCCATAGAAAAAGGATACAAATCTGCTGTCATTTAAAATTTGCCATGTTGCCAAATTGGTTCAAACTTAAATCAGTTGATATAAATAAATCAACGTTTCTGCATACGGCCCTAAGAGTTTAAAGTTATATCACATTTTTAGTTTTACTCATAAAATAAGTAATCCATTTTCTTGTTAGTATTAAATTAAATTAGGCCAAGAAAAAAATATTTTTTAAGCCATGCACTTAAATGTTTACCTCTTTCTATTTTTTTTTTTAATTTTCTTACACTAAATTTTTTATTATAAGCGGTATAAAATAAAGTTAGGTCTTCTTTATTAATATTTATTTAACAATAAAAAAATCATAATCATAATCATCATTAATTAAATAAATGATAAACTTGCAAAAACATAAAAAATAGAATAGTTTAATATTATTATAATAATTAAAATATGTATATTGCATGAATTGCCAAAAGAAAAGGTTTGATCGTACAGAGCTTTTGACTGTCAAATCATTTTTTTTTAATTATTTGTTTATCGCAAAGTCTACCTTTGCCAGAGTACACATTTGTACACCGATTTTTATTGATAACTTTAAAATGATATTTACCAAAATCCTATAGGAGCAGCTATAGCTGCTCCTCTTTTCGAAATTTTTTGAAAAGTCTTAATTTTTTTTTTAATTTTTGTTTATCTTACCTTTGACAGAGTACACATTTGTACACCGATTTTTATAATATTGGAGTTTATTGTTTTCATACTGAACACATCATTAGATTTACACAGGGTTAGCCAAAAATCACTTTTTATATAGTAAAAAGATTTAACTCCAAAAAATGTTATTTTTTTATTTTTTTTCAAAATCAATTTTTCTTATAAAGCCTTAATAAGAATCCCATTTTGTAGCATACAAATATCTAAAAAAACATGGGTGTGTATATATCTTTTTTGCGTGTTATTAAAAGAAACGATTTTTGGCTAACCCTATATTAAATGATGTGCACAGTATAAAATAGTATTCTCCATATTAACAATATATTTAATTATAACATTTTTTTTTTGTAAAGTACGGAACATAAATTAAAATATAGTAAATATTTGTTATATACAAAATTGTAATTGGGCAGGAAGACGAAAGTCGTTAGCCATTTGGATTTCCAATGAAGTTTATTATTATTATTAGTATTCTCCAAATCTTAACAATACACTCCAATATTAAAAAAATCGGTGTATAAATGTGTACTTTGTCAAAGGTAGACTTTACGATAAACAAAAATTTAAAAAAAAATCATGAATTTTATAAAAATTCGAAAAAAGGAGCAGCTAGGATTTTGGTAAATATCATTTTTAAGCCACCAGAGGGTCCCGAACAAGAAACTACTCAGTTTTTGGCGGCATTTTTATGTGACTTAAACTTCGTTCAGGCATACCGTGTGTAGAAGACACATTTAAAACTTTTTGTAAAGCACAAACACTCTCCTTAAATATTAAAATGTTTCTAAAAACACTGGTTTTAAAAAAATAATGCTAAATTAATAACTTGAGGAAATACAGTTCTTCAAAAATCAGATACATTTTGTTGCACAGTGTTCTTGGTTCTTAGTTTGTGTTTTGTTGCTTCTGAAGCTGAAAAGTGGGTTATTACATATTGATTTAATATTCTCCATTCATTTCAAATAAACCATTTGCGACTGTATTATATTTAGTTCAATTCTAGTCGACAGTGAAGCAAGTTAAATGAGTTAAAATTACTTTAAAACTAATATTGTTTAGTGTTGCATGATTTATGTGACTGTTATTAGTAATGTGCGAGTAAAATAGCGTTTTCCGCTTGAGGAAATTGTTCATAAATTTAATTTTAAATTGAACAATTTTGGAGACTAACAGCTCATAAAAGTGGACGTATAAAACTTAAAATTGCATGTTGCTGTAACTTAAAATAAACGTTTGATGTTTATGAAATTTACTGAAAACATTCAGCCGAACGACGGTTCGATTTCTTCTGACAACGGCGAAGACACCGAGTTGATGATGGACGAGCTCCTGATGACTCCGCCGATGACGGGGGCCATAATCAGGGGCCTGTTGCCTCGCAGGACCCTGGAGCCCCTTATCGAAGAAGACTGTTCCGAGACTTCGTCGTCCTCCGATATCACATCGCTGACTGAACCGTCTCTGTCTCCTGAACAGGTAAAAATATACCATGTGAATTTATCCTTATAAAGTTTATAAAAGCTACTAAACAACTATGTACATAGAACATTTTTGTTAATAAGTATGGTTTAAATTTAACCTATTCGAATAATAGTAATTATTAAGGTTTAGAATCTTATCTAATCTAATCTAATTTATCTAAACTTTAGATAAATTAGCAATAGCGAAATTATTCTTTATTTTTAGTCACCTAAACATCTGCGAATTGCTACCGAATTGGATCGTATACAGCAAATTAAGACTGAAGTCATAGTTTAACTTTACTTTAAATCGATAGTATGCATTTCTAGTTATTTAATTAAATTGATAGAAGTAAATATTAAATTTAGTGTATTAATTCTTAAAGAATGAATTACAATTTGATAATTATTTAGATGTATTTTGTGAAGCGATTAATCTTAGCACAAACAATAATTAAATTTACCAATATTGTCAAAATTTTACTTATAAAGTCAATATTCTTAATATTATATAAAATTATCTTTAATATATCAAATATTTTTAAACATATTTGGTTGCCTTAAAAAATGCTTAATGTTGGGTAAATTTAAAAGGCTAATTTAAAAAATGGTACAATAAAAGAAGAATATAGATAATAATTTATGATTTTCATGAATGTACTTATGTAAAATACAGCTTTTTTAGAGCTTTAGAGCTTTTATGTATACATAATCCAAAAAAAACTCTTTATACATGGTGCAATATCAACTTCTAATATTATATCCATATTACCAAATAATACGTAATATAACCATGACGGAATCGGAATCGAAGTAATAAAATTGTGTCTAATAAATATTTTTTTAGGGGAAATTTTTTATTTTCCAAAAGGCCTGGTGTAGGATGGTCCAACTTACCGTGGTAATATATTTTTTTAAATAACAACCATTGCAGTGAATAAATAGTCAATTTACGGTCGATTTACTATACCAATCGACGTTCTTTTTGTGGTTATTGTATAGCCGATTCACGGTGAATGATTAGTTTGCTTGTTTAATTTGCTCACTAAGTACAGATGGTAAATAAACAATGACTAAGCAGTTGTTTTATAGTCGAAATATCGTGTCCTAAAAAACTAAGCTTTCTACTGTAAATTTTTCGCGATGAGACTGTTGTAAATCTACACTGTCCGTCAAAAAGGGGTCATTTTTACCGACTTTGAAGCGCTGTATCTTCGTTACTGTTTGTTTGATTTGTACAAAATGTTCAGGGTATACTAACAAAAATACGGTCTTTAACAGCATATTTTTAATTTACTTAAAAAAAATTCCATATAAAAGTTTTTTTCGAGCGTTTTTTTAATATTAAATAAAAGGGCTTTAAGGATTTTTTTTCGAAAAACCCTTGAAAACGTAAACTGAAATATAAGTTAAAGTATTTTTATCCAAAATTTTATAAAGATTGCTAAAGGCGTTTTGGAATTGTTTTAATTATTATGCGTTAATTTTGACGGGCAGTGTATATATTCATATGCGGTTTCCACGTACGGTGAAGGTGTTTCGAAAATGAAACTATATACAAAAGTTCTCTTACTTCCTACACTGTTTAAAATATCTGTGGTGTAAAATGTAATCTTAAAATGGTGTCTAAATCCAACACCAAGTGGTGTTAATATAAACACCATGAATTATGGTTGAAAATGTTATATACAGCAAACACCAAAACGGTGTTTATTTAAAAATATTTAAGAAGTGCACCTACACAGAAAAAAAGGAATAGTTAATTTAACTATATTAATTTAGTTGACCCTGTAACGAGACTCAGGGTTGGGGGTAGGCGTTTAAGCCACGAAAACACTTCTTCGGGATGTACAGGATTTATTTTCAGCGTTAAAACCGCTTAGTATGGTATAAGATACAGCTAAAACATTTACAACACAGACAACTATAAATACTGAAATACAAATATAATATTTTCATTACCTAAGCCCAGGCCAATTTATATAGTTATCACTAATTATATCAAAGGGAGCCGTCTTGGTGCTCAACTATATCTGTCGAAATACGGTGTTGAAATGGCCGATGTCACCTTGGTGGAACCAAGAGGTCAAGGCTAGGTGCGCGCGGTTGCATATCAAAGTACAGCGCTAATAATTATTATATTTAATAATTATTATATCTAATTCTACCGTTTCAACCCATAAGTATTTATTTAATTCAACTGTGGAAAGGTTAATATAAACAAAGATTAGTTTGACGGTACTAAACCAGATAGTTATTTTTTTTAAATTGGTTAAATTAACCCAGAAAACTTTAGTGAAATCAACCCGCTGCAGCGCTACAGCGCGCTGTATGGTTCAGTTTACTAAATATGTTGTTTGTAAAATAAGAGTTACTTCAACCTAAAGCACTCTGTTAAAACGATTAAAACAATTTGCCGTGCATTCCTGGTTGCATAGTATGTACCGATCGCGGCAAAGGCGGTGTTGATCACGTGATGTTCTTAAATCTCGCCTCTGTTGACTTACATGAAGAGTATATAAGCTCAGGTAGTCCTTTGCTTTGGTGTGACACTAAAAGTTGTTCGATACTAAAGAAACCTTAAATAGGTGGAAACAGCTGTCAATACTTAAAATATTTTAAGTTGGTGGAATGCACTAAAAATATTATCTCTATCGAGTTAAAGGTTCAATTTTCTGGAATAATACCACTGGTAATATACTAGTAGGTAATGCGTCAAGGAACTTTCTGTCAGTGTTGCCAGATTGGGCGATTTATCACAAATTGGGCGATTTTTAACTCGCTCTGGCGACCATAAATTTACAAAAATCACAAGTCGCCATTTGGGCGATTTTCGACGCTAGATCGGCGTCAGCCCCAAGGAGGGTAAAATAATTCTCCTTGACTCACCAAAGCTATGATCGGAATAATATAAATAGGTTTATCGACATAAAACATATGTTTACTAAACTATGCTATTTAAATAAAAATCATGGGTGAACATGTTCAGTTATTTTTTTATTTTACAAGTAAAAATTCACAAAAAAATGTACTTAAAAAAAACTGGCGACTTTTACTTTATTTTGGCGACTTTCGCCGCCTCTGGTGCGACATGAATTTTTTTTATCTGGCAACACTGCTTTCTGTTTCCTTTTTTTTCCTTTTTTTCTGTGTAGTATGATTTAATTTGACCAAAAACACATAATATTTAACACTGAAAAGGACTTCAATGTACACCAGGCAAAATTTACACTATTTTAGTATTTGAATTTACACTGGACCAACGAACCATATTTAACACCATTTTGGTTTGTATCGATATTGACGATGTATGGTGTTAATTTGGTGTTAAAATGGTCATGCAATTTTGAACAGTGTAAGAAATCCCAAAAGTCAACTGAATGACTTGAGCGGGTTAGGGGTAGGAACGGACCGCGGGCGGATTCCGCTCCGAAGGACCAATACACAATAGAACAAACACAAACTGATGTAATAACTCGATAATCACCCTATTTTCACAGTGTGACAATGAAGAGTTTTTCACCGTTTAAACGCTAATAAAAACCTAGATGTCACCGTATTTTGACCGTAACTACGAAACGGCCAGGGAATTTTACCAACTGGCTTCCAAGAAGTCCAAATTTGACCATATTTCTCAAATTAAACGTTTCTTTTTCTACTCCCACCAATAAAACGTCAATTATCGTACGTGTTTTCATGATACTAAATACACATTGACGTTGTGGCTTTATGGCATTTTTGTCATGGGCTGAAGTTAGTTAACTGTTGTCAAATGTCATACAATCGTTAAAATAAAGTGAAACTAAATGTGAAAATTATTTTATTATCTCAATTCAAATTTATTAAATTGTTTCTCAACGCCAATATTTAAAAAGTTCATATGAACATTTTACTGACCTTTTAATTTCGCCGGCAGTCAACTAGATTTAACTTAATTTTGGGTGGAGACTTCACCGTGGAGTGCCCATATAAACTTTTTTTTTTACTTTCACCGTAAAAAACTGCTATATAAGCAGTTTTTTACGGTGAAAGTAAAAATACTAAATTTAAACGGTAAATTTTCAAGGGATACATTTCGATTTACACAACAAAATTTGACATTTTCACCCGCGCGCCGGTAATACAGATTCCCAAGATAGTTACTTTATTGTTTTATAGATGTCACTCTATTTAAGTTAAATCATTTTTAGATAATAATAAGTATTTGTCGTAGAAAAAGTATACTATAGTATAGTTTATAAACTTTTCTAGACTTGCTCGTGCCTAATTTAAATTCGTGACTAAGATTGCGTTTATTAAACTTGATACATAATATACTATTATTACCAAGAAATCAGTTTTATTTATTTATTTTTTGTGGATTTTTACAATCCAACACTTTTACTGTTTTTTGTTATTTTTATTTTGTAAGTAAAAACATAATAAGTACTTAAATTTTCCTGTTTTTTGCGAATTTTTAAGTTTCTGCGTTAATTTTTCGATTTAATATTTGTATGTATACCTACATACTTACTATTCCTAAAACTATCTACTAAATACTAAAATTAGTTTCAACACAAAAATTGTAATGAGTTTAACGAATATATTATTTTTAAAAAAATTGCAACTTAATGGTAAATAAGAAATATGAAGAGGTCAGAAGCAAAGGATTGTTGACAGGAATTAGAAGAGATTTCTCATTATTTAATTCTTTTTGAATAAACTCTAATCCACTTTTAAAATTAGCAATTCTGATTTATCCAATAATAGTTGAAACATTTGAGGCAACACTTTCTTTAATCCACGTTTTTATTAAAATTAGTTAAAATGAAAAAAAATATATAACTTGAATTAAATTGAACTGAAAAGTAGGTGGTATTCGAAATAGAGCTAAGTAGATGAATAGTCGCGTGAATAAACCGTGTGGTGATTGCATTGTGGGCAGGGCAACGGAATTGGAGATGTTGCTGACACATGTTCGGCTGCTGCGGCAAAAAGTCCGCCGCCGCTGCCGCCAAACGACCAAACGACAAGAGCCACCGCGCCCTCTGGAGGGGTTCGAAGGACGAAGTCGCCGTGGCAACGAATGCTAGTCTCGGAGCCCTTTTCGACACCACCAGCAGCAGCGACGGAGGCGGCGATGGAGCAGGAGGGGGAAAGGATTCATCGCGCGGAAAGCTACCGTCGTATTATCGAAGCTGCAGAAAACGGCGACGCAGACGGCATCTGCTTCTTCAATCGATTCAAGCCAACAAAGCGCTACGGAAATATTGAACGCGTGCCCTGGACCAGAAGCATCAAAATGTAAGTACTGTAAGCCCCCTAGCAAATAATCTTTAAAAGTTAAACCCCGAGTGATAAATGAAATATTACACCACGGCAAATGTTATATTAAATTACGACAAATAAATAAAATAAATACTTAAGGTAATAAAGCTCATTAACTTAGTAACCCAAGGTACTTTTGAGGTGTTGTATTCATGGGGAAAGTATTAAAAGGGAAATAATAAATACTGTAAATAAAATACAATAAATTACGTTTGAACTCAGGTCAAACACCCGGAAGGCTCCCGTTTATTTTTATATAAATATCGCTCATAAAACGTTCCAAAATAAGGGATTATGGAAGGGAGTTCAACGTATATAACTCTAAAATTTTTAACAAAAACAATAATGATATTTACTTGGACAAAGCAACAACAATAACCGTAACACAAACGGCATTTAACTTATTTTCTGAAAGAGAACTCTGAAAGAAAGGGACATCCTACAAACCCTTAAAACCACACAATATCTCCTTACTGCGACCACAACCCACATATAATATAAATAAATAAATATATAAATACCATTAGATAAATAATACATCATACTAGAGCTCAGCTGTCGTATGTGTTCCTCGTTTTCATTTTTAGTTTGTTTCTTCGTTTGTTTTCTTGTTTGTTGGATAAAAGTAGATTGAGTCTTAGTTTCTATTTTTGTATTTTTAATTTAACTTTATCCGTCAAGTATTCCATCTGCCTTCATCCTCCAAATAAAGTATTTTTATAAATATTTACTGTTGAATTTAAGTTAACTGTTACATAATTTTTCATGTAATGTTTATTAGAGTTCAGGCTCAATCAACTGTTAAGAATAAGGAGCAACCGGGTTCGAGGTCATTCTAATTGAGGGTCCGCAATTGCCCATTATGCCTCATTAGTCGGCAAACTTTATTAGCTTAATAATTACCATAAAATACTAGGTAATAATTTGACCAAATCACAAAAGGCAATGTCTGCGTTGCGAATTCAGATCAATCCAGTATCAGGACTCCACGGACAGTGGTGATAAATTAGATGTCGCTATCGTACAATAACTGTTGCTACTCACTCCAAATGAGGAGCATCCGTGCAAAACCGGCTAAATCCATTTTATTCAGTTTTTGTTTTTTTTTTGATTTCGCATCTTTGGGTTCATTTATATCGACAACCAAGATAATTCAGTTAAAATCCGACTAAATCCATGTTAAAATCACATTTAAAAGGTAGCTTTTGGAGCAAAACCGGCCAAATCCACGTTTTTATAGCAAACCCGGCTATATCCAATAAATAATAATAGGTGGCTTGGATATGTCGATACTACTACTAAAATTTTTTCTGTTTTTTCATGTTTGCCCTAAATTTATTTTGTTAATATTTTTGAATGATAAAGGTTTTTTTTCACATTTTTTTCGTTATTTATTCGGTTTTCGAGCAAAACCGGCTATATACAATTTTTTTTTTGAAATTTTGGCCTAAAGTCTTTGAAAACGAAAGTATGTCTTATAAATCAAGTACCACAAAGCCCACAAAACTCAAGTTTGCTTTTTCTTTTATCTGTGGATATAGCCGGTTTTGTACGGATGCTCCTCAAATGTAGTACCAAATAATTTAATATAACTGGTATAATTCACTCAACTAATTACGGGACATAAATGTGAATCTGGGAGTACAATTTAATACCGTTTACGCATCGAAAATCGATATTAAATACACTTAATTTACACAGCGTTTATGGTAAGAAATATTTATTAAAATAATTAAATAAACTTAAATAAAACCCTGACATTTAGCTAAACTAATCGATAAAGTTAAGCAAATTAAGATATTTTGACCAAAACATAAATTTAACGATACAATTTTATACGCCCTGTATACTTTATTTTAATATTTGGTAATAAAAACGTAAAAATGAAAGAATCTTAGACAAAAAAGAACGAAGTCGAAAAAACGCATTTTAGGTATCAGTCGGTATCCAGTTTGATTTCAACTTTGTTCAAAAATATGCTTAACTTTTTTCGATCAGTTTATATAAAATCCAATACAACCCTGACCTTTTAATTAGATATGATCAAGTTCAAATTGTTTATAATTTAGAATCTAAATTATAATACGAGATAGTTGAAACGTAAATTTATTTCATGTCAATTACGGGCGTGGTTTATTAAAACGGCAGCCATCATGGCAGAATAGAAGTTCGATGACGCCAAGTTCATTGATCGAATTTTTATCTTTACACAAGGCATTTGTGTAAACTAATTATACCAAAATGTTCGAGAATATTTATACTACAACAGTTTAGTTATAAATAAAATGTACAAACCTATAAATTTAAACACTTTTACATTAACCAAATTTACACCTATTCTTCGTTGCACGGGTTCTTCTCGAATGATTCTCTGTTCTTCCCTGCACATCTCGAATGCCGTATTCTTCCCCCCTTACTTTCCCACCTGCCCGTCTACGCCAATCGTTCGGCATTCTACGTCAAATAAATTTCTACTTCCCGCTAGATTTAAATGTTAGTTTATTTAAATGATTTATTTTAAACAATAAGGATCGTAATAACCCACGAATTGTTTAGTAGCGGGGTTTTTGCAGATCTCCTCAGTACTAACAGCTCGACACAGCTACTGTATCTGTGTCTGCGAAAAGAATGAGGCCCGCCCATAACTAACAATGATAAACGATATCTACTTAACCGATCGATGTGTTGAGGACATTTATTTTGGCAAATGTCTACCAGGTCAAAAAAAAATTAGTTCGGCCCCAATGCGGCCGATATCGGCAAAGGATATCGGGCCGCAATTCGGCTGCAATGAACCCCGCATTTAATAATTTATAATGAAAAGTTGTATATTTTTATTTATATATTAATAATTTTTATTTATATATATATAACATATTTTATACAGGTATACAGCTATTATAGCTATATAAAATATGTAAGTTAATAAGAAATATTTGTGATTTGGTCTATTTTAAATAATGTGACAAATAGAATATATAATATAACAATAATAATAATAATAATAATAATAATAATTTATTTGCCCACCAGAAAATACATTTCCAATGAAAGTACAAAATAATAAATGTAAAGGTTATATCAACATTTCTTTGTCAACGACTAATATATAAGATAAATTAGAAAAAACATATCACATACATACTAATATAGTTATTAGATATAACATTCACTGGTGACTTAGCTAATATTACAGTACGAACATTATCGCAGTAGAACAAATAGTTATTACGAGAATTTAGTCTAGGAACATATAGATTAAACATTAATAAAATATTACAGCAGTCAATTGCATTGTAAAAAATTTTGTATATAATTTTAAACCAGAACCAACTCTTCTAAACTGAATTGAATCAACATCAAATCGATCAAGCAGTAACTGATGTTCAATACCTCTGGATGGATATTATCTAGCCTGAATGATAATACGGCCATTTCAAGCGCGCGAAACGCACGAATAACAAAACTGTTTTTATAAAAAAAATTGTAGATTATTTATTATATAATATTTTGGCATCAAAATTGTCAAAAATATTCTTCTTTTATTAGGTTATACATTAAATTAAAAAAAACGCAAGAAATATTTTATGTAAGTAGATATAATTTTAATAATTGAAAGGTGTGGACGGGACAAAAAAAAGATTTATCTTGTCCCGTCCACCCCTGTCAATTATTGAAATTATCTCTACTTTTATAAAATATTATATAGCCTAATAATAGAAGAATATATTTGACAATTTTGATGCAAAAATAATATATAATAAATTACCTACAATTTTTTTTATAAAAACAGTTTTGTAATTTGTCCCGTCCATCCGCTTGAAATGGCCGAATAGTTTTAAAAATTTACGTTGAACATTCTCAATCATTATAACTTAGTTATTAAAGTGCGAAGACCAAATTATGGAGCAATATTCCATTTTAGATCTTATTTATTTCACTACGACACTGCGACACCGACACTGCGTTTTTTTCATGATAATAAAGTGTTTGTTCAGATATATCAAAATATTTTAATATAAAAAAATAGTTCAAAACATTAGATATTTAACTTAATTAAACAAGATGTCAATAGAAACTTGTATAGAAAACTTTTTACAACGTCATAAATCGCATAACGGGCGCGACATTAGAAAATCGGCAAATGCTACCAAGTTGGCTTCCAAAGTTGAGTTGTAAAATTTTGGATGAAAGCATATAGTAATAATTTTTTGTGTAAAACTTGAATAGTAACCTCAAACAAGCACGTATTTTTAATGAACAAATATTTTATACTTTATTTTCTAAAATGTTCATAAAATGTAACGGGTGCGACATTACAACTTTTTATAGAGCATTAAAACTCTTCTTAAGTTAAGGTTATAAATTACGTCGCAATTAAACTGTTTGACTTCATATATAGTTTTTGTTTTGTTAAATAACACATCTGATTTTTTGCCAAGGTTTCGCAGAAATACCCAAAACTAAAGGGACAATTTTTGACAGCTGATTTTATAACTTAATTTTGATTACACAGATGTCCACTGTTTGTCACACTTCGGCATTACCGATATCTGCCGCAATATTTACGCTCGACAATTCATACAACTTATTTTTTTAATTTATTAATTTTTTTGTTCAATTTTATAATTTTTTGCTTTTTGATTATTTCTTAAAATTATAATAAACGTTGATTAAAATCTAATATTATTTCAGCTTTGAATTTTTTAACGTACGTAGAGCAGAAAGAAGAATATATGAAACTTACCCCGAAGACAAACACTTACTTAAACTAGTAAACAAAGATGAAACAGCAAGTAAAACCCCAGATGAAGAATCATCCACGGTGAACACAGACAAACCAGTATCTCCAAGAAGAGAGGAAGTAAGCTTTCATAAAATCAAACTTTATCACTGAATTAACTATTAATTTTTATAGGATAAACGTCTAGACCGACGTTTTTGGAAGCAGTTAAGCCGCCGACGTAGCAGTCAAAAAGGCAACATTCCTGTGTAGATAAAAAAACACTTCAAACATAAACTCATCCCTCCTTGTCAAATCATAAGCTCAATCTCAAGTGATAAGTACAAGTGCTTCGATCCATTGTACATCACGAGCTTAATTTATAATATATACTTACCCTTATTAATAAACTTTAGAAAATGTAGATAAATGTAAAAATTAAAGTTATTATTATAAATTAAGCCTGCGACGTTTTTATATGTAATCAAAATTACTATCAATTACTATTGTTGATTATCGCATTTGCCTTTTAGCTTATAATACTATTGGCACTAATTAAATTTAAACTAGAATACTACATCTTTAAGAACATTATTAAATTATTAATTATTACGTAACTAGATATTGTATTAAAGTGAGAATGTATTAAAATAGTTTATATTACAAAAGAAATCCCTTTCACATAACGTTGTGATACATTCGATTTTTGTATACTGTTATGAATAAATCTATTTAAAAAACTGATTTTTTATTTATACTGGATAATAATTAATAATTACGAGGATTTTTACTCGCGTTCGAATGGTCATTTGTAAGGATATTCTCCAGTTCTGCGATTGTATAATACATTTCCATAACTTCGTTACTTCCATTTGGAACTTGAATAGTGACAAAGTCATTCTTTTTCTGACCGTTTATGACCGCTTGGTTCCAAATTGTATTCCACAATCTCTTCTTACCTTCGGTCTTTGTATTCGAAAGAATTTCTTTAAATTTTTCTTTGCCTAAAATATTATGATTAGCAAAAGTAACATACGAGGTGTGTTCAGAAAATAACGGAAATTGTTAAATTTCGCGGCTTCGGAGGGTCCGGTTGTCATAAAATTTTATTTATTATGTTGGTATACATGCCCCCGAAGTATGATAAAAGCTTTAGCTGTTTTCATTGTTTACTTTGTCTGGGGCAGCCGCTAAGGTTAGACGTGTTTTATGAGCTCGGCGATTTTCGTTCTTTAAAAGAAATGGATCAAAGAGAATTTGTATCCAATTTTGCTTAAAAAATGAAATAAATTCTGTGAAATGTTAACAAAGGCCTAAGGAGAGTCTGCTATAAGTAAAACAAGAGTTTACAAGTGGTATAAGAGTTTCCAAGATGGCCGTAAAGACGTTGAAGATGGCGAACGCACAAGCACATTAACAACTGATAAAAAACATAAATGGTCATAAACCATCAGATAAGTCGCTGATGATGTTGGTATATCGATTGGCTCATCCCATAAAATTTTTTCAAATGTTTTGAGTATGAAACGCGTGGCAGCAAAATTTGTTCCAAAATTGTTAAATTTTGAACAAAAATTTTGGCCAAAAACAATACTGTAATGATGCCTCAGCCTTCATATTCGCCAGACATGCCTCTGTCTGACTTTTTCCTATTCCGAAAATAAAGAGAACCTTAAAGGGCCGTCGTTTTGCAAGTATAGATGACATTAAAAGCGCATCGCTAAAAGAACTAAAGGCTATCTCAAAGATCGAGGTTTAGAAGTGTTTCGAGTATTGGAAGAAGAGCTGGCACATGTGCATTATATCCAATGGGAACTATTTTGAAGGCGACAACATTAATGTACACGAATAAATAAATATTTGTTTCAAAAAACGAAAATTCCCGATATTTTCTGATCACACCTCGTACTGATATTATTGTCTAACAAAGTTCATATTCGACTTGGTCGCTAAATGAAGATCCCAAAGATGTCGATAGAGAATATTCAGTCCATGACTTAATATTAGGGTTCACATAAGCTACATTCACATCTCTGGCTTTGTATTCTTTTTTATTAAGAAGCACATCGGGTTCATTTCGTTTACATTTGTTTAACTTATCTTTGTCCTTCTTGTAAACTCCGGATTTAGTAATGTATATCACAGGTGTAGAAGCGTTGCTAATATTTTTATGGTGCAAATTATTGGATATAACATCCACGTAGATTTTAATTTCTTTGTCGCGATCATTCTTTTCCATATTAGCACCTACAATCATAATATTACCTGATAATTATTAAATTTAATTATTGCTTACCAAAATCTGCTCCCTTTGGTTGGCCAGTTTTTTTTCTCTGCAAATAATCTTCCATCAACTGTACAATTTTATTCTTCAAGTCGATTCCCGGTCTCAATATTTCACCACCCCACTTCCAAAAACCGTCGATATCATCTGATTGAGTGTTTGAATCGCAAGTTTCTTTTTCAATGGAATTTAAAGATTTCATTTCTTTTTGTGGGGTTGAATCCGAAAACAACATTGGATTCACGTGGTACCTGTTTTAACCAAAATATTACTTTTGAATAAAATTATTTAAGGGTAGATACAACTATACAGGATTCAATGCTGATTAGTTCTAAAATTTCTAAAAAATATCACAATATTACCTTTGATCAAAGGTGCTACGATATTGATATTTATCAGAATAATGATCGACATATCTTTCAGTATATTTCTCAGGATACTTTTCGCGGTAATGATTGGTGGTGTGAATTTTATCTTGAGAACCACCACTCGTAATTTTCGTTATGTGAGTAACAAGCTTGGTAATGATTCTTTTAAAATAGTCTTTGGCAACGGATCTTTCTTCGTGCGCTGCCAAACGCTCTTCAAGCTCATTTATCTTCTTTGTTAATTGAGTATACTGTAGATTGCAGATGGCGTGTTCGGATGGATACTTTCTACTCCTAAAATGCCTAAATAAATAATAAGATAATAATCTGTTTCTTTTTATATTTACCGCCTTTCTTCGAAACCGCTGGCTTCAATGGGTCCAGCAAACATAGGTTTCTTCTGAGTATCTTCTATCACGTTTAAAATTGCACAGTTTTGGCAGTTACAAGGGTCTTCATTCTTATTTTCGTAACTGTTTTTGTTCTTGCAAGCAAACACGTTCTTTAAGTTAAAGGATTTGGCTGTTGTGTAAATGTGCTGCATATTATGCTGGTCTCCATCCCCGTCTATTCTTCGGTTCGATAAACAACATTCAGAGCTGGTTCTGTTCAAAACAACTCCTGAGGATATTTTTGACAGCGTTTGATGCAGGCTACCCGAGCAGTTACACTTTTTGTAAAATCTATCCCAAGGTAAGGAAGATCTGTGTGTATCTCTTTTTGCTTGGAACAAAATAACGTATATAAAAGTAAATTTCTGAGCTATTTTTAGTGAGCCAAACTAACCTGGAATTGTTTCAGACCTTCTTAATGAGCTAAAAATGTCTGGGGGATAAGTTCCATCTGTAATAGGTGTAGTCACGTGCTTGGATATTTTCATGACACAATCATTAGATCTCTGCCCAAAAATCTTATCCAACAACTTACTCTTGTCATGATTGCCCATCTCCATAGACGCAATCAACTTTCTTACCTGCGAGCTGTTTAATGTACTGGTTTGAGTTACAAATTTTTTATTGCTGTTGTTGGTTTCTTCAGCGGGGCGTATAACGGTTACATCCAAAAGAATCGAGGAGCATTTTTTGGAGGAATCGATGATTTGCTTTACGCTCTCGTCCATGTCAAGCTCCATACCGATATTTTTTCTTTTCGCATCTTTAGGATTTTCTTTTTTTCTAGGAAAAAAACTGGGTTTTGGAAAAGACATTGTTTACATAACGGGAATAATTTTTGGGTTTTCACTTTTTTCTACATGGTTTAATTTTATATTTTGCTTACGAGAAAAGACATCACAAAAATTATGACAACAACAATAAACGAGTGGGCGGTCAATCAAATCAACTGTCAGTTGACACGTTATGACAAGTTATTCAATAAATTAGTACTTTCAAGATATATCAAAAAAATGTCTTCCATTAACACTGGATATTGCCAGATTATGTCGCCAGTAGGACACAGTAAGCAAAACACAGAAATAATAACTTAAATAATAATAATTTATTAAATTATATAGGTACTGGTGATTGCGAGTTTAAATTAACAGACACCAAAACAGATAGAGAACTGGCACATATTATAGCCACTGAGGTCGTGGGTGATATCGTTGATAATGCTATGGACATCATACAGAAAAAATCCACTGGAAAAATTGGCGACATAATCACAGACTCAAACGAATTTGACTCTATTATCGAAAGTATGGAGAAAATTCAAATTGTTGACGAAGAAAAGGGAAAGAAAAAAAGTTCCAACAAAAAAAAAACCGTTTAAAGGTAAATTTTGAATGATTAAAATATATATAAGAGTTTAGTTTTTTTAGGACTTGGTGATCAGTTAGAAAGTACAAATGAAATTATAGCAGATGAGAGAAAGATTAGACACCAACCTGTAGAAAAGAAAAGTCGATTGACTGATCTGGTTAAAAACTCAAAACAACTTTTATCCAAGTACATTTTAAATGAAAATATAAGACATGATAATCCTGAGGATGATCACAAGGAAAAAGTAATCAGGGTAATGTAAACCTATAGTAATGTCATTGTTGATGTCAATAATGTCATAAAAGGTCAAAAAGTAAAACTTATATTTCAAGGTGTTCGAAATGGACAACCAAGAAGAAGATAACGCTATCCAATCAGCAAATGTGCAATTAGAAGCCAACCACCTACCAGAAGACGTTCAGGAGGACTTCGAAGACGACAATCTGGATGACATTCAACTAGAGAAGGGAAGCAATGGAGATACCCCGGAAAATATAAAGAAAACCATGACTTTCCCGATAGCCGGCACGTCGAGCACTAAGAGCTTTTGTAACAGATACAAAACTCTAAAGTTGACTGCAAGCGAATTAAAGAAGAAAAAGTGGAACATTGGATCAAAATTAATGAACATCATCAAAAAGAACAAATCGAAGAAAGAAGATCAAGGTGAAGAGGAAGACAATGAAGCGAAGGCAGTGCAATAGATATGTCTGGGTTTTCGCAAATTATTCGTAATTATCATGTTATACAATACTTATATTTATTTGAATAAAATTCAGTTTATTTATTTTTATTTTTTATTAAGGTTCAATCATTGCTGATGTTTATTATCTTTAGTAACTTGCATTTAACTCGTCTTGAAAATATTTTTTCACTTAGGACTGATTGTAAAATTGTAATAACAAAAATTGACGTTTGCTTTTTATACGGTATGGCATTATTTTTGTTGTTGAATATGAGGTCAAATACTAATGAGACTATTTATAAATTAGTCGGTAAATTTTAAATTCAAAAAGCAATGTGAAACTGGCGCCGAGCCCACTGACAATATAATAAAATTTCAACTTTTCTCGGTTATTTTTATTAAATAAAATACCTAATAAAATATTTTGTAATTTATTGTAAAAGCATCCATTTACAAAATATTCCAAAATTTATATTTTTAATATCAATTTTATTGCACGAACCCAGTCATTTTATGTAAATCTTATTTTTATTCTAAAAATATTGTATAAAGCTATACGACGCCCAGACCAAACCGCTGAACCTAAATGGCTAAAATTTTGACAGTGGATTCCTATAATGACATGGATAACCATCTCCAAGGGTAAATTGGAAAACTCCAAAATTCAGTTTTAATCTCAGCGCATACGCCAAGTTTTTAACAGATTTTGATGAAATTTGGTATGAATTTTTTACCTTTTTTAATTTCTTTTGACATTTTTTTCTTTGCGGACGGGGTAAAACAAAACTTACGTTACAAGAGATGAAACAAAATTCGCACATTTATGCAATTTAAAAAATGGTAAGACAAAGTCGCCGATTTTACAAGTTTCTAAGTGCAAACAAAAATGACAAAATTTTACAAAAACGTTCAAAAATATTAAAATTCGCAAAATTTTCAAGATTTTTAATCTTTAAAAACATTGAAAATTTACAAAAAAGCTGAAAGTCTAAAAGTTTAAAAGAATGTCAAAAAAGCTTAAAAACTCAAAATCTTAAACAAAGCTGTAGAGCTTAAAAAAGCTTAAAATCTCCTAATCTCGAAAGCTTAAAATGTTTTGGGTAATTGAAAACTGCCTTTACATTTAAATTATTTTAATCCGGGTAATTGAAAATTGCCGAAATTCAAACAAAATTGGATAATTAAAAACTTACATTTATTTTAAATATCGCTTTAATTCTTCAAGGTAACTTAATATACATCAATTAAATAAAAACAAAACGCAAATTTAATTAAATTCTTCATATCCGTGTGTTTTTGACTTTTATACCTTTTTTATTTGTGGGCCGAAGAGTAATATAACTATAACCAACTCTAACCTTTACTTTTTTTTTAGAAAAACGCGAGCGAAACCACGGGTGCTAGTTAATTAAAACGGTTTTTTTTAGATAGAAAAAAACTGTTTTTATTTTAAAACCGCTACAATAATAATAATAATAAATATTTATTTATTTAGGCTGGGAAGTAATAATGTAATAACAGTTATAAAAAATATAAAGTGAGGTAAGATAGCTTCAGCTCTCAGATAGAACAAATTTTTGTATTAGTCCTAACGGGGTTTTTTACAGCCTAGGCAGTGGCGGCTGGTGGATTTTGGGTATACCGATACCTCAATTATTAGATATGGGACCCACACCAAATTTATATGAGTTTATAATGACATTAAATAAACAAGTTCTGCGCAAGCAGAATTTAAATTAAAGTTTGCGAAAAAAAGATAATCCATATCGATAATTTTCAAATTCCATTTTAAAAAATCCAAAATATACAGATTTTATACCATTTTAAATTTTTAATATTTCTTTTCAATAATAATTTATATTTTATTTATTGGGGGCGCCATGGGGCCGGTTCGGCCGAGCAAAAAGTTATCTTTTTTTCGCAAACTTGCGCAGAACTTGTTTATTTAATATCATTATAAACTCATATAAAATTGGTGTGGGTCCCATATCTAATAACTGAGATATCGGTATACCCAAAATCTACCAGCCGCCACTGAGCCTAGGAGATAATTGAATACTTTGGTAGTGAGCGTTGACAATAATAAAGCTTAGATTATAGATCGAATCTATTAGATCCATTGAATAAGACTCAACTATAGAACGCTTGAAGATAATTCAATTCAATAAAATAACTAGAAATACTGATTTTAAAATTAAAATTAAAGCTAATGAGAAGTCAATGTATCTTGAGGGTGTTACTATAACAGAAGTATATAATACTGTAATGAACTTAAAAAACTCAAATTCAGCTGGCCTGGATTTAATATCTTCAAATCTGCTTAAAAAGTATTTATTATCTACTTGTTCCATTAACTTACCTTTTTAACTTGTCAATAAATACCGGTATATATCCAAATATACTAAAGACAGCTAAAGTCATTCCAATTTATAAAAAGGGCAACTGAGAAAATATGAAAAATTTTATGCCTCAATATCAAAGGCTATTGAAAAAATAATTAGCTTAAAAATAACAAATTTTCTTACCAAGTTCGGTATTTTATCTTCTGTCCAACATTGTTTTCTCAAGGGTAAATCTACGAATACTGCAATAATGGTTTTTTAATGAAAATATATGAAAATATTAATAATAAAAACAAATGTGTCGGTATTTTCCTAGATTTACGCAAAGCCTTTGATTTGGTGAATAATTAATTTATTCATTGTTGTTGGAAAAGCTTAATAAGTATGGATTAGGAGGTAGAATTTCGGATTGGTTGGAAAGTTATTTATCAAACAGGGAGCAAATTGTGGAATTTAATACTCTTAAAATTGAGTGCGGTGTGTCTCAAGGATCAGTTTTGAGGCCACTTCTTTTCGTAATCTTTATTAATGACTTGGCAAATGTAGTAGATTCTAGAGACCTAGTTCTATTTGCAGACGATACGTCGATTTTTAAAGCTAAAAACAAAATATCAGATGTAATTTTAAAATATGAAGAAATATTAAATAATGTAGTTGAATGGTTCAGAAATAACTATTTATTTATAAACCGTTCAAAAACAACTTTTTTACCAATTAAATTAAAATCATCTGTAGATAAAAGCTATTTGATAAGAATTGATAATAAAAGTATCCAACAAGTGAACGTAGCCAAGTTTCTGGGCTTATGTATAGACAAAAGCCTTCACTAGGAACATCTTATCAATGAACTATGTAGTTAACTTTTCTCTAGCTGTTATGTACTGTACCGATTAAATCAGGTTGCTAGTAGAAGTGTAGTCATGGCGTACTATTTTGGACAAATTTACTCAAGAATGAATTATGGGATAATGTTTTGGGGCAACTCAATTTCTTCTCAAAAAGTTTTTAGGTGGCATAATAGAGCTATTCGAAATATCGTTGGAGCGTCTAAATTAACATCTTATAGAAATATATTCCTTGAATTAAAAATAATGACTCTACCATCTTTATTTATGTTCCAAACAATTCTATATATTAAACAAAAAAGATCAATTTTGTTACCTAATAACTTTAATGATGAATACGATATAATATCCGTACGGTATAATATCCGTAATAGGGATGATTTGGTTATCCCAAGATACTCTCACACCATTTATGACAATAATCATATTTATGTTGGCATTAAACAATTAATAAACTACCCAGGTCTTTAAGGAATATTTATAGTTTTAATTGTATTTATTCTTCACCAATAATTTATTTTACAATATAGAATAATATTTTAATATGCAGATAATTAACAATTATATGGGTGATTCTACAAAAGTTGGACAACTTGATGTCATCAGTCAATGGAGTATTTTAATATTTTTTGAAAATATTTTAGTATATTACAAAAGATCCAGTTTTTTTTAACTTGCCCACCCAATTTTAATATATTTTTTTAAAACCACGTTTGTAGAAAAACATAATAAATATTCAAAACATCAGTACCTTGGCGTGTCACAACTCCTGCGTCAAATATTTGATTGATTTTATTTTAAAATATATTCAATTTATCTTAAAGTTTTCAATTTCACTACAAACTATAAAACATGAAATAATGTATTTTTCATGTTTTATCATAGATTGGAATAATAGCAATTTTTAAAAAATTGATATTCTTTGTATACTCACTTTTACCCGTCAGTTCTATGTCTAATGTTAAAATTCAAAATTCCTGCGAAATATTGAATTTTAAACGTCAAGTCCTCGTTTTAACCCAAGTGTTGGTAAAAAAATTACCTACAGAGCCCGCCCTTTGCACAACGTCATCTTGAAAACAATGCAAGCGGCGAAGTTGTGGTGAATGCACGTATAGTTCCAGTCAAAATATCAGTACTGTGGTAAGTAGTTATTTTCTTACGTATATATATTTCATTGTAATTTATATAAGGCTATATGTGATTTGTTGATAAGTAGCATCCACTAGTAAAAAATATCAGTAAAATACTTAATTCCGAATTATAATCTCAAATTTGTATCCCATTCATCAGTACCGTGTCGTCAGTTCCATCTTCGATGTTTCGGTTATCTTTTTTCGCAAACTTTTAAATTCTACTTGCGCAGAACTTGTTTATTTAATGTCATTATAAAATCATATAAATTTGGTGTGGGTCCCATATCTAATAATTGATATATCGGTATACCCAAAATCCACCAGCCGCCTCTGATGTGTGGTATTATTTGATTTTAAGATATTTAATATATAATATGCTCAAAGTTGCAATAAATCTTTTATTTTCCAATAAATTATGTATATAATTAGTACTCTGGTATACTCGTCACTTCCCTTGCAATCAAATTTAGAAAACACAGATATTTCATAAACTGTTTGAAAAAGTGACTGGCCCGGTCTGGAACAGTATATTTATTATATTATCTATGTTCTCATAACAAAATACTGTTTAATTTTCTCCGAAATCTATATAAACAAAATGAGGTCAAAAGTTGCCCAACTTTTGTAGAATCACCCATATGTAATCTAATGTTTGTACCAACTGACTTGTCCTATACAATATCTATTGGATAATAAAGATTTATTTACATTATGTATTAAGTTCCCAAACAACCAGTTTACATTTTATTTACGTACATAGTACGTC